GTATGTATGTAATGTATGTATGTATGTATGTGTCATGTCATGTCATGTCATGTCATGTCATGTTATGTTATGTTATGTTATGTTATGTTATGTTATGTTATGTATGTATGTATGTATGCATGTATGTATGTATGTATGTTTGTTTGTTTGTTTGTTTGTTTGTTTGTGTGAATGTGTTTGTGTGGTTGTGTGGTTGCTTGTTTGTTTGTTTGTTTGTTTGTTTGTTTGTTTGCCTGTCTGTGTCTGTCTGTCTTTCTGTCTGGCGGTATGTTTGTTTGTCTGTCGGTCTGTAGATGTGTGTGTGTGTGTCTGGTGTTTGCTTGGTTGTGTCTTTGTGTGCGTATGCACGCATGTGTTTCTGTTTGTTGCGTATGTGCGTGTTTGTCTACCATATATATATATATATTATACACAACAGTGTCTGTGCGCAGGTGTGTTTTTGTGTCTGTCTCTTTGTGTTTCAAGCTCTCGTTCTGTCTGCTTCCGTTTCTGTTCTCTCTCTCTCTCTCTCTGTGTTTTGACTGTCTATGTCTCTCTCTGTGTCTCTGTCTGTCTCTCTCCATCTCTTTCTCTGTCTTTGTCTCTGTTTCTGTCTCTGCCTCGCTCTCTCTCTCTCTCTGTCTCCCAGTCTCTGTCCGTCTCTGTTTCTGTTTGTCTTTCTCTCGCCTCTTTCTCTCTCTCTCTCTGTCTGTCTGCCTCCTTCTCTGTCCCTATTATTTGCCTCTCGTCGTCTTTCTCTGTCTCTCTCTCTCTCTCTGTCTCTCTCACTCTCTCTGTGTCTCTCTCGCTCCCTTTCTCTGTGTGTCTCCCTCTGTCTCTCTCTATCTCTCCCTGTCTTCTCTGTGTCTTTCCATCTCCCTCTCTCTCTCTTGCCTTGCTCACTTTCTCTCTCCCTCTCTCTTTGTTTGTCATTTCTGTTTGTTTGCTTGTCTGTCCGTCCGTGTGACCCTCCATTTGTTGTCTGTTGGTCTGTCTACTTGCCTTCCCGCCTGTCTGTCTGTCAATCAGTCTCGTTGTCACTCTCTGTCTGTCTATCTGCCTATCCTGTCTGTCTATCTGCCTGTCTGTCTATCTGCCTATCTGTCTATCTATTTCTATACATATATGATCTGTATATACCAGTCTCTTTGTCTGTCTCTCTGTCTATTTGTCTGCCTGCCTGCCCGCTCGCCTGCCTGCCTGCCTGCCTGTTTGCCTACCTTGTCTGTTAGTCGAAGTGTATGTGTGCCTGTGTCTGTATGTGCATTGGCGTGTGTACATGTGCTTGTCTGTGTATGTGTGTGTGTGTGAGTGTGCGCGCTCGTTCGTTTTCCCATGTGCCAGTCTTAGTGTGTACATATCCGTGTATATATATATATGTTTGTTTGTGTGTGTGTTTCTGTACGTGTATACCTGTCTTTGTGTCTCTCTCTCTCTCTCTCTGTTTGTGCGTGTGTCTGTATTTTGTTTTTGTTGCTGTTTTCGTGTGTGTGTGTGTGCGCGTGTGCGTGTGCATTTGTGTGTGTGTGCGCATGCGACGGCGGTTTGTTCCGGGCTTGCGCTTGTGTTTGTCTGCTTGTGTGTGTATGTGCGAGTTTGTGTATGTACATGTCTATCTGTCTGTGTCTGTGTTTGTCTTTGTTTGTTTGTGCTTGTGTGTTGGTTGCGCAGGTGACACGTATAGAGGGAGTCGACCCCGATGACTGGAACGCATGTTAGGTCCGTCTTATGAGCATGCTCTACTGCTGCGCTCTACAGCAAGTTTCCCCAGACAGAGACAGGCAGGGTGACCATTGCCTTTCAGCTGTACCCCACAATGTTTGCCGAACTGGAGCGGGCTCATGGCTTGCTCCGTCAGCGGTCAAGGACAAGTCAACCATTTGGATGACGTGCCATAACGCCATACCGACCCCTCAAAGGATCTTCACAGCTAGCCGAGCAATCTCAAGGAAGGAGCAGGTTAGGACTGGTCGGCAGATTGGCCAGAGACAGGCCATGTGTCAGTCGATCGACTGCAGGCCCTTCGAGATCCTATCCCCAGATGGCGTTGACCCGGCCAGCTTGCAAATGCTTGCTCTCACAACCGACAAGGCAGGAGCTTGTTGGCGTCATTCCCTAAGAGGAGATTCACATTGGAAACTGCCTTCACTCAACAGGGAAATGGAGCGCACTTCCGGAAAGTTATTACCCAATTCCCACTCCCCTAGAAGTGGAACTGGGTGAGGGGGCTGAATTTGGAAGCGTGAGTCGGGCTCATCAAAATCGCTGACACGATCTTCTGAGTCAGCGTTGGCTTTGGGGGCAAGTTAGGAGAGGGCACTGGCATCGACCGTCAGGTTGAAATCATCCTGCAATGGATCCAGAGATTAATTACGCCCCCTGGACGCAGCTGTTCTTAGATTCTCAGCGATCCTTGGGAGCAGAAAAACCTTCACGGTGACGTGGAGAGCAGAGTTCACACAATTGCTTTTTCCGCTAACCCGAGCAAGTGTCACCATCTCATCAGTGTGCTTCCGTTTGGACCTCTTGGTTTCCTCACCTTGAAGGGGTTTGCAAGATTTGTGGATTTTTGTTGGGCAACAAGCAATGTGGTTGGTGGCTCACATTCTAGAGGCTGTCCCCAGTGATTGCTAAGGAATGCAGGGCTTTGGCAGGTCTCATGCTTGTGCTTTTCTTGTGGGTGGCATACTTGGCACTGAGGCTCAGTATGCAAAATGGCATCATCGTGGTGGCTCCCCCTGTGGTCACACGAGCCTATCAAGAGTTGTCACGTGGAATCGTGAATTTGCAGAATGCTAGACGCCTGACTGATTGTAGCAGGCGACATGGCCATTTAAGCAAGTTGGCGCTGCTTGTTTATCATTTGGGAATTGACGCTGCGTTGCTCAATGCGAGGAAAGATCGCGGACTTTCCCTTCCCATTTCCCTTTGCACAAGCGAGCGACCCGACTGCATGGTACTCCAAATTGAAGCTACACTCGCTGCAACTCTACTCCCAAAACAGGACACCGTTGATTCTAGTGGGAGAGCATGATCTACTTGGCTTCATTTGATTTCCAATTCTATTCTTCTCGGAGGCAAAGCTCAGTAGGTGTTTAGGGTTGCATTTATGACTTTTAGCTGCTTCGGGAAGCACGTTCGCCCTACAGTCTGGGAAATCTGCACAAATCCGAGGCATGGTGATGCTCTGCCTGCATTGGGCTGTCGTCCCTGAGCCCCGGCTGAACTTCAGTTTAGGCGGAAACAGCGCCGCACATCCAATGCGAGGCACTGCGTCACTTTCTTTCTAGCAGAGTGTTTGTGTGTGTGCACGCGCGGTGCGCTTGCTCTCTGTTTTTTTGTTGCTTTTACCTTGACCCGGCTACTGGCCGGAGCTTTTTTTGTTTGCCATGCGCACAGTTACGTTAGACACGCAGTTGCTTCTTGTTCTTGGTGTGGTGTTGAAATTTCCATGTTTGACGTGCTGGTGCCTGGCAGATACTTTGCAGCTTTCTGCTGAACAAAGTTCTGGCATCATGTGTGTCCTTCGCAGTCATTTGCTTTTTGCCTCTCGGCAGCATTTGGCATAATATGTATATGCTTCTTATTTGTGCGTTGTTTCATTTTGTTTGCGTGTTTGTGTGTTTGTTTGTTTGCTTGTTTGTTTGTTTGTTTGCTTGTTTGCTTGCTTGCTTGTTTGTTTGTTTGTTTGTTTGTTTGCTTGCTTGCTTGCTTGCTTGTTTGGTTTGTTGTTTGTTTGTTTGTTTGTTTGTTTGTTTGTTTGTCTGTCTGTCTGTTTGTTTGTTTGTTTGCTTTTTTTGTTGTTTGTTTGTTTGTTTGTTTGTTTGTTTGTTTGCTTGTTCGTTTGTTTGTTCGCTCATTTGTGCCTCTCCCTCTCTCTCTCTCTCTGTCGTGCCACAGAAAAGGCACTTTGCACGCTGCCGGCAGGTGGTCGCAGAATTTCATTGCTCTTCAACTGGAATCGCCGTTCGGTTCAGAGCCGAATGACCTGCCCATGCAGCAGATGCAAATGGACTGGCACCTCAGCTGCTTTAGGCTCAATGATGCGTCTTGCTCGTCAAAAATGAAGGCAGTTGGTTTGGTCTCCGCTGTCTGTCTCTCTCGCCCCATTGTTTAGTGGTTGTGGGACTGTGGCTGTGAATCAATTTGAGTTGCACCAACCGACGAGGAACACCAGTCTCCGCGCCCTGTCGCAGCCTGAGTTGACGCAAGCGTCTGTGGGCCGATTCCCCCCACCTGTGCGACGCATTTGCAGCGCAGTACTGGCTTGCCCCAACCCAAAGGGATCTGGTTGGGGTCTGGCACCCTTTTGCTAGCAGGCCTTCCGAGTATTGAGGGCACTGCTTCACGCACTTCAGGATGAACCCGCAAGCGCAGAGACCTCCCCAGCGACTTGGTAAAAAGGGCATGACCAGGTGCCTGGCAATGCGTGAAATGAATCAGGCAGTGCTGCTATGACAATGCATAATGCTGTATATATATATATATATACATATGTATATTTGGATGCAGTTTTTTGAGGGTGGTCTAAAAGAGCTGAGCATTCAAAGAGAACCTTTTTTGTGGGTTCCCTCATTGAGAGAATTTCAGCCAAGCCGCCCAGGTTTAGCTTTGACCGTGAACGGCATCGCCACTTCACCGTCATGATGTCCAATGGCACAATGCCAGATGGCTCGATTGCAGTACCTCCTAGTCCCGAACGGTGACCAGCGGATGCATCTTGCCGAAAGTTGGCTGACGCAGAGTGAGTAGGCATGTGACGGGAAACAAGGGAAGGGCACTCTCATTTTGATGTTAAGAGCAGTCCTTCTCGTTTTTGCAGCTGCCTTCGACATAGTTCTGATTCACGTGTCAGCTTGGCAATGACGGCTGAGGCCAGACGCGAGGGATCTCAGGATCCCAGTCAATGCAGCTGCACATAGAAATGAACAACCAAACACTCCGGCCGTTGAACGCTTCAAAGCTGGTTCACGATACATTGTTTGTTGATGCAAAAGTTTGGTTGCCACTTCCGCATGTACAGTGTGGTCCTTCTGACCTGGACGGAGTCCGGCGTGCCGCTGACACTCAATTTTCAGGGAGGTGTAATTTGGCATAGTCTCTGGACAGAGGCTGAGTCCTACACTTCAAAACGCTCACGTTGACTGCAACTTGCGATACGGTTTTCAGTTGTTTGAGTGCAGCTTTCGACTTGTTGCTTCCAAGTTGCGACCGTTCCCACCAAAGACGGGCCCCCAGCCGAAAGCTGTCGAAGACAAACTTTAGGCTGGCTGCTGTCAACAGTGTGAAACGACCTGCTTTTCGCCAAACAAAAAGAAAAGGTGCACCTCATTGAACGTCATTGTGCTGCTGTTTTTTTTTGCCAGTCGCACGTGCACGCCAGCACGCAAGTTGCTTGAGGAACTCTCGCAGATCCTTTCGCAGTGGCTGGCTGGCAAGCAGCTGAGTCCCGTTCAGGACTGCCCAGCACGAGTAGCGGGGAGCACGAGTAGCGGGGAGCTTTTTACGCTGAACTGGCACCGGCCCAGACCCAATGAGCTCCCGCCAGGACGCGGCACCGTCTCCAAAGCATGAGGCTCCTGCGGGATAGCCGCTCATGTTTCAGGGTGTTGTCGGTGTTGTAGAATTCGGGCTCTTTGATTGTTTAAAAGCAAGCAATTGCTGTGTCGCCGGTGTTCTGAAAGCAACACTCCATTTGGACATGTGTCAACATTAGGCGACCAGGAAATACATATCCTTCTCAGAGTTCCGCATGTGTCCTGCTTGTGTTGCAGGCAGGTTCGAAGGGAAATCGCCAGGATGATGTTGCCATTTGGAGAACCCAAAAACCTTCGTGCTTGAGCCAAGTCCGTGTAACGCGGAATCAGTTCACCAAACAAGAGCCAACTGCAGATTTGCTTGTCAATCCCTACATGCACTTTGGTGGGCAGGCTGCCTTTGTTTGAGGCACAGGGAAACTAGCAGCTGTAGCTTCCCCTTTATCCTATGCACTCTGAGAGTCTGTTTTTTTCGGCAGCAAATAGGTGAGAAGCGAGCAGCCGCTCACGACGCCTATGCCTGCGTCCGGAAGAATCGAGCAGCCACTTGCGACACCTGCACCGCCCGGGAGCATGGTTCAGATGGGAAAGGGCAAGCTGTGGTCTCTTGATCTGATTTTTGTTTGTGTCAGAGAAGGCCAAGCATATCATGGGAACTCTGATAGTCGTTGTTGGGGAGCTTGGAATGCCGGCTGAGGCTTATGAATGAGTCGCTGCCTCGGAGCTGTGAAAAGAAAGGCATCTCAACATCCTTTGCTCGGGATTGCCTGAGTTGATTTGAACACTTTTTTTCCGGAGCAGGCCAAGGCGGCTAAAATGAGACGGCTATCTTTGTTTTGGATTTCGAACACAGTTTCGCGTGGACTCTGCATTGACGGCAACAGCTGCAGGTTCGACATTGCTCGCCTCAGAATGAAAGCTCGTGCGCCAGTCCAAAATTGGCTTCATGTTCACTGCACTGACCTCATGTTTTGTCGCGAAGCGAAGCTTGGAATCCAAACCGTTCCGAAGGTACCTACACCAGCGCCGATGGCCCGACCCTTGAAGCCTCACGGACCGCGACCGGAAGTTTCCGAATATTCCGCGCTTCGCCAAGGAATCTGTGCTCCGATCCCGCAGGGAGGCGTGACAATGCTGGGCACACCAAAGAGCCAGCCGGGCCAGCCAGGCACTTAGCTGAATTGGGGACTCATTTAATTTTGTTTTTTGTTTGTTGTTAGATTCGCCCCAAGCCCCAATCTGTTTGTGTCCCCGCGATTCTGAGCAAAAGATTGCAACAGCCCATTTGTTCACTGTGGATTGTGGGTGGGATGTTTGTGTCCCGGGCCCTTAGGCTTCAGTGGAATGCCCAGCCTTTTGTTGCCGTTTGCCACACACGCTGAGGTCCCGCAAATCAGGCCGGGCGAAGCGGGCCAATGCTTCATCTCAGGATTTGAAACTGTCTGCTTGACCGAAGGCATGCACCATACCCTGATGGGATGACCCATAGGTCCATAGGTTGCAAGGAATTGGTTCCATTGCGCAGTGTTTCTCATTGGAGACGTGGTCATTGGTGGTAGATGTGATGGACCCTTTGCCTGTTGGGGATGGACGAGGCTTCGTACCAAAGCGTTACATGTGATGCTAACAGGGCATGGATGAGTACTGCCCCTCGTTCTTCCCGTTCTCATTTGCTGGTGTGCTTGCGAGCTGCTGACGGGGGGGGAGGGGGAACAACTTCGTGGCGAGGCGTTGTTGTGCCGGTGTTCATACAGGCATGATAGGATCTGTCAAAGACCTGGACCCACAGCCCACGCCAACCCTGGACCACAACACTGGTTCCGTTCTACTGTCCCACTGTAGTCTGGCTTCAACATTTGTGGGGGACCTAGGAAGAGAAGCGGCCGAGACTTGAGCAAGAATGACCATGAAGTGACAAGCGCCAATGTAGAGCGCCCTTGCTGAATCTACCATGGCATTGGCAGGAGTACTAAGGGACCGCCTGTGCTCGGAGATGCCGGCGAGCAAAGACAGTGACACTGCAAGTTATAGCTTTGCATGCAGCACAATGCAAGCAAGCCAAAATCAAATTCGCGCGCTCACAGGAAACGAGAGCCGGAGGAAACAGCGAAGCACAGTCCCCGATGAACCGCCAAACTTCTTAATCTGCTGCTTGTCCTTCTGGCTCAATCACTTCGAGCAAGTGTGTCTTGCCAAACCCGCCCGTGCGTACTGCAGTGAAGCCAGGACTGACAACATTACAAGCAGGCAATCCTTTTTCCTTTGGTCAAAGTTTATGCCTCGCTCCAGTGCTGCATCCGCACTTTGCAGCCAGGCTTTGGATTCGCCCGCTCCAGCACAGTGACATCGCTCGCAGTGCAGGCCTGAGCTTGTTGAGAGGTTTCTCTTTGAGGCTCCAAACACGTAGGCATATTGGCAATTTGACATGTCCTCCGTATCGCCTGTCGCTCAACCCTGTTTTAATCCTGGGGCCTGGACACATTTGTCAGCTGGCCGCTGGCCAGCAGGCAGTGCAGACTGACCCAGCCTTCTGAGGAAGCGGGCAAGAGAAAAACGACGACCGAAGGCTGGACTCATTTTGTCGGTTGAACTTCCGAAGGCTCTCATGGTGGATGCAGCTGTGTCGTGGTTACCAGATGAGGTTGCCGCAATAATTGCATGGTTGTCAACCATTCGATGATTCCTGACGACAGTGCTTTCCAGGTGAGACCGTCTTAGAAGAACCCAGCTTGGGTCAAACTCGTTCAGGAATTGGTGATGAAGGCCCGAAGGAGGATGAAGGCCGGCCACAGCATGCGGCTTGCTATAGGATGGAGGGGTGTTTCCGAGTAGACTTTTACCTTGTCGCTTTGGTGTGCATGTCGGGCAACTTGCGGCAACTATGTTTCCCTCATTACAGCTTGCTGTCTATGTTTTGCGAATTCTCGGAGTGAGAAACAGGTTTGAGATGTTTCAGCCTTTCCTGCTGGCTTTGCCTCCTTTCATGGAGTTGGCTGCCAGGCAAATGATAGCCCAGCTGAGTCCTTTTGTCCCATTTGATTGGAGGGCTCAGGTCAGATGCCAAAGCTGACCTTTTTCTACTTGCTCTGGAAGGCTGTTGATTCGTCACATTTCACACCTGAAAGCCCACCACAGGCAAGAAGGAGGAGAGCCGGAACAGTAACAAGAGTCGGACTTTGCGAGCGCCGCGGAGCATTTTCGTGTGCAAAGCTCAGCCTGGTCTTCTTGCTTTGGCTTGCCCCGAGGGCGCTCTCTCTCTCTCTCTCTCTCTTTTTCTCTCAGGGCAAAGAGGGCGATTCTCTTTCTATTCCAGTGACACACTCGGGTGTCTAAAAGGGGGGCTTGACTGGGACGGGGCCGCTGGTTACGGGCAGCTCAGGCACCACCTCTCGACCTACGCTCCTGAAGGACATGGCCACACACAGACCTTCAGATATTCAAGACAAGGGTTGTCGGGAAATGATCTCTTGTTCAGCCTCCACTTCTAGCCTGTTCGACTGCTGATGTTGGAGACGGCGCTTGATACAAAGTACATGCGCTGCTAAACGTTTGCAACTTGCGGCTCCATAGAAGTTCTTCTCACCATTTGCCCGGGACTAGCATAATGTTGTGCGAAAGCACGTCTTATGCTTGGGCCCCAAAGAGTTGTGTGCGCACCTTGACCACCTTGGGCCATCCTGTGGGAGCTGGCGTTTCCACTTGCACAAGCCGCAAGGAGACGGGAGCAGCGAGGAGGCACCTTCCTCTACAAGACCAGAGCTGGGGTTGGCAGGCACGACCGGCCTTTTGCGAGGTCTTTTTTCACAATTTTTAGAAGACTGAGCTTTGCTTGTTGCCTTTTCCCTTTTCGAGTCGGTGCTTCTTTAAATGGATGTGGATGAGGTTTTGTGAAAAACATTAAAATGCTGCTGGAAATGTTATACTGGGTGAGCACAGCAACAGGGACTTTGTATGGCCTTTGTCACTGCTTGCCAGGGGAGTCTGTTATGTCCTGCCTGCGGCGGAAGATCGGGTGGCTGGCGGACTGCTCAAGCCACTATGATCATTCCAAGCAGAAGCTTCCAATGCTCAGGGAGTTGGGACCACAATTTTGGAAGCTTCAAAGTGGCTCGATGAAACAGGGTGGAAAGCATGCCCATGCCACAGAGATTTGCCACAGAGATCTTTGC